AACAAACACACCATTTTGCATGCTGCCGAGTCCGGCCTTCCGCTCCTCCGTGTACTTATTGGCTCAGACGTTTTTCTGAATTCGGCCGATAATAATTACGATTTTGTAAAATTTTATATAACTTTTCTTCTCAGTTTAACCCAATCTACTATAATCTTTGGGATTGTCCATATCGAATCTGACACCCTGTATATAAGAGGAAAAAACAAAGAATAAAGAATAAAGGAATTAGCCTATGTTGATAAGATCAACAAATAAAATTTTGAATTCAATAAGACAATCACTGTAAGAGAAAATGAAAAATTTTTTATGTTATGAAACTTTTTAAAATTGCTCCTTGTTTTAAAGTTATCTTGCTATTGTTTGTTTTAACACTTTACTTTTGCGTATTAGTAATTTTTACTTTTGTAATAATACGCAAAAGTAATTTCAAGAAATCGTGGAAAAAAACCTAGCGTTTTCCAAATCTCACAAATGTATCATCGGAACATGTTCCGAAGGCAGTTGTCTTTTTCTCTATGGATGACGGATTTACGATCGTGGATATCCGTAAAGTCACGTGCTTTCGGCCTCTAGGCGTGACCGGTGAGTCGTGGACTTTCGCATAATGTCGCGGGAGCTTAAGACAATTCGATAAATAATGAGCCAGCGACATGTTTATGCGCTCGCGTGTCTGTCTTCAATGAATCCTCAAGCGAACACGATCCGCAAAGTACAGCCCTGCCGCGCCGAAGGGAATTATTTGAGGATTTACGCTTTCCATCCCCCCTTTGCTTTACTTCGACGCCTCTGAGATATCAGAGAGATTTGAAACGATAAAATATACGCTGAATTGATACTTTGAGGAATGAAACTCGACTGTGCAGGCGTGAAAATCCGTGGTTTCTTTCCAGAAAATTCAACACGGTTACAGAAACAAATGTAAGCTAAAATCATAGCACGTTGATCGCTGAACACATATGATATGTATTCTTCTATATACTCTTCATTCGTGTCTCGTGAACGCAATCGTTCGAGAACATGTTTTAAGTTTCGAGAACAACTGCCTTTGAAACATGTTCCGATGATAAGTTTCGAAATGCGAGGAGCTAGATAAACGGAGCCGAGAAAACGACGTCGCGCGGCAGAATCTTTTGTGTTTGCGTTTAAATTATTATGCGACGAATTACGACAGAGACGGTCACGACGCGCGTAAAATATTTAGACTTAGTAATCAGACTTCGTCTCCCTCATGCCTTCGTCCAGCGTGGAAATTCAAAATTACGTAATCCGGTACGAGGCGCGAAACAATGAAGACAATAGCGACCCAGGAACGGCAAACAAATCTCTGTAAACCGAGGGGACTCGCGCGTACGTGCGTATATCAGGAGGCTCGATTCATCGAACATCTGTTTTCGAAATTTTACCGGTGAAGTGAAGGAGATAAATTAAACTCAGCAGATGCCGTAATCTCAGTTTAATTAACGCCATCAATGTAATCGAAAAGACAAGAATCGAAAACGGAAAGACAGAGATCGAAGTAAAAACTTTAATAAGACGTGTCGACCGCAAAACTATTATAAGAAATAATTATTCTATATCAGCTCAACTGATCAGCTGATATCTTTTGCGGATCTGTCTGAATCAATGGGAAATCAAAATAGAGAATTGCAGCTGATACACCAAAGAGCAATTGCACTTTAAAGTAACTTAAACTTTTTTTTACTATCCAGGTTACATACGAAAATCTTATGAAGTAATGGAACTATATTAGTATTTAATAAACTAGTATTTATAAAGTAGCTGAAACTAACTTTTTTTTTATGATGGGGCGAAGATTCGCCCCATCTTCGAAAAATTTATTCTAAACCAATTTTAAAGCTAACTTAACTTAATTTAACTATACAAATAAGTTACTTAAAGTATAGCTGAAACTAACTTAACTAACTACTAATTGGTTCTTCAAACATGCAAGGAAGTTCTGTGACATACCAAATATTTGCTTGGACGTTTTGGGAATATTATTATAAAACTGCCATAATCGCACTGAGAAAAATGCTTTGATTGTATCAACAAGACACATTTGAGAGAATGTAACTCAAACCTTAATCTAAATCTCACCAAATCTTACATGCTAAATATAGTCCCATATATACGTACGTATGGGAGAATGTATTTTGGTTCAATCAAATAAAATTTCTAGTTAACACGATAGGGTTCGACATTTCATAACCAGAAGTTTGTTAGACTTCACTACACATTTGGTAAATCCTAAAAGGATTCTGATTCGTCCATTTTCTAACAGACGACTAGTTAAATCTACCAAATAATTAATTAATGCAACCAGAGTTTTTGTTCAGTGTAGCTGGCCATGGAAAGTAACATACCGTACCGCGTACCGACTACTTATTACGTTTACATTTTTGTCAAAAGAAAATCGTAATTATAGTAAACAATACTTTAAACTATAATTTCGTGAATATCTTACAATTATGTGTCAATTAGAATTCATACTCTGTCAAATTTCATTTTCTGACTTTTGGATTAACTTTCGGAAAAGATGATTGCCCAATGCATTCTTAATAAGATACAATCGATAGAAACTTTAAGCGATTTCTCGCGCCTACGCATCAGGATTCACCTGTCATCTCGAGTCGACAAATGCCTGTCTCGCTTTCGGCGATCTTCGATCATCTCGTGCGATCATAAATCTCGTGGAACTCAATGCCAATCATGCTCCTTCGGGTTGGCTTCGCTGAAACGAGGTGAATGAGCAAAATCTTTCAGTTTCTATCGTCCTTACAAACAATAGGACCGCACCCAAAAGCTTTGTCGATGATCGATAAGCAACCTAACATTACTCGAGTAGCCCTTCCCCCTCTCTCTCCCGCTATCTACCCATCTCTTAAAAAAGTAAGTTAAAAGTATTAAGTTATTCGCAACGACCGATGTATATAGACCAAGCATTTGTCTTCTGCTTTCTCACTCTCGAACTTTCGGCTTTATCCGTTCCATAGCAAAAGCGTAGAAATGCTTGGTCTATGTATACATCAGTCGCAGCCAATAAATAGAATCGATCCTTTTCATAATACAAGTCTTAAATTTTAAATCCACTCGATGGATTCAAGTCCCCTTCGCGAGAATACAATTTATAAGTTAACAATGTTTGTAATCCTTTGTCTACAAGATCACGTTACATTAATTCCAACGGACATTTCATAAGGTATTGAAAATGCTAAACGTAGCATCAGAAAAATGTTAATATGTAGCATTTTAAATATAAATTACAAAAATCGTTTATCGATTTGAATACGTGAATTTGCTGACGATAACAATTCCACGTGTAAGAAAAAACTGCGTTATATCCGAAAAAGAAATCGGCGCGTAGAATATGGAAAGAAACGGTATATAGATTCAGGATTTTCAGAAAAATTACAAGTTGGGCTGCCTACATCCTTCCTTGTGACCCACATTAGCGTGTTCTTATATGTTGTTTAGTATTAGATAAGGGTCTTACTTGAAAGTTTATCATTTCATAAAAGTTATGCACAATCGACGTTTTCAAGTCACGATACATTTATCTTACAAATCCCAAAACTTTATCAGAAATAAGAATTTTAATTCAATGGGGAAAAGGGTAAATTTATAATGCTAAGTATAGCATTAAAATTAAATTAAAAATAATTTGCAAAAATCGCTCTCCGATTTTTAGAACACGTGAATTCACTAACGATAATAATCCCACCTAGGGGAAATCTGTGTTATATACAGATAGCACAAAGATGAACATAAGTTCATAGAGAATTCATTTTAAAGAAAACATACAGAATTAGAAAAATGAATATCTGAAGAATTCTTGAAGAACTAGTCTCAATCAGTTCGTCTTGAAGTATTCTTCTGAAGTTCATTATAATGAATACTTCGCGATTCAGTACTGTGCATACTTTAAGAATTTATAAGGAATTATTTGTCATGCGCGAGTATCCGCTAACTCTTTGTTCTAACACTATTCCCCTTGAAATCATAAAGTTTACATTTATTGAATTCGAGATGAATACTTTAAGAAGTTGTCAGGAAAACGATTTATGGTGCATGTAACTTCCTCTGTCACTCTTATTGTATTCTTCTATGAATTCCTACACTGAAAAAAAAATCTGGTAGATTCAACCAGTCGTCTGTTAGAAAATGGACGAATCAGAATTCCCTTTAGGATTTACCAGATTTGTAGTAAAGTCTACCAAACTTCTGGTTATGAAATATCTTTCATGGTAAATCCTAAAGGAATTCTGATTCGTCCATTTTCTAACAGACGTCTGGTTGAATCTAACAGATTTTTTTTTCAGTGTACAGAATTACAATTCAGAAAAAAGAAAACTATGTCCGATAGTAACAGCGCGCAGTACAGGGTAGATAAATACGGTATATGGATTCACTTACAATTAGTAATATAATGGCCACCACCTTGCCAAGGCCCTAAAATGGCGTTTCAGTTTCAATTTGATTCATCAGAAATACATTCATCTTTATATTTGTCATAACGGAGGAGTCAACCAAAGTACTCATCTCATAATCTCATCCCATGGTAGATCTCTCACTTGTTCCTGAGCCGTAAGTTTGCGAATTATGCTCTTCCTTCTAATAGGTATATCGTGTTCAGTTGTCAAGTATTATTCGAGTGACAATTATTAGATCCAGGGCTTTGTCCGTCAGGCATGCGCGTCTCTCGCTTCTCAAATTTTATCTCCGATAGTCAGGGAAGGGGATTGTAGGTATCTTACAACACATTCTTTATAAATTAATAACATTACTTTTTTTTTCTTCCTCGTATATTAGGTATGGCCAGCAGTATGGGGCAAGCAGCAATGGGATCCTATTACACTCCTGCCGCAGCTTATGGCTCGCTCTCAGCAGCCAGCATGGCTGCAGCCGCAGCAGTTGCACAACAATCCATGAATATCGCACCTACTCAGGTATGGAACTATTATCCACCTGTAGGTGGCTTTCCATAAAGTCCTCCCCCTCCCTATCTTTTCGCACCGCTCTGTGCTTTGGGTTTTTATAAAAAGTACAGCGCTAAATCCGAGGGGAAAACCGCTAAGGGCATTGTGGTGTGCAGATTTGCGGCATTACCAGGCATTACTAGGCATTTTTTGGGCATTTTTTAGGCATTAGTTTGGGCATTAGACTTTGCTAGGGCATTATAAAGATAAAATAAGATAAAATTAGATAGAAGGAGATAAATAAGATAAAATAAGATAATAAGATAATAGGGTTGAAACGTTGTGTAGTAAACTAATTAAATAACTAGCCAGTTGGGATGACAATAAGTTTCCCGTCTCAATTAATAAGATAAAGTAATGCCCACTCATTAGTGGATTAGTGAACATTATTGGATTAGGGCATTAGTGGATGTACATTGATGTACAAAATTTTTGTCAGCGGTTTCCCCCTTGGCTAAATCCGAGGGGAAAAACCGCTGAGGGCATTGTGGTATACAGATTTGCGGCATTACCGGGCATTACTAGACATTACTAGGCATTTTTTAGGCATTAGTTTGGGCATTAGACTTTGCTAGGCCATTATAAAGATAAAGTAAGATAAATTAAGATAAAATAGGATAAAACAAGATAAATAAGGTAAAATAAAATAATAAGATAAAGTAATGCCCACCGGGCATTAGTGAGCGTTGGTGTACACGATTTTGGGCAGCGGTTTTTCCTTCGGCTAAATCCTACTCTCTAAAAGCCAGCCAGTGGATTAACAGTGAACTATAAAACAGTGACTATTATACTGTTTTCTGTGAATAGTCACTGTTTTACAATTTCTTAAAACATTCCATAATCTTGTGGTATACAGATTTGCGGCATTACCGGGCATTACTAGACATTACTAGGCATTTTTTAGGCATTAGTTTGGGCATTAGACTTTGCTAGGGCATTATAAAGATAAAGTAAGATAAATTAAAAGAAAATAGGATAAAACAATTTGTTTACAACAGGGTTTTCTTCACCATATCTGGCATTTTTAATAATACAGATTTGTCGCGAAAAATATTACCTCGGCCAGGGTTTGAACCTGGATCTCCCTACACTCTAGGCGGGTGTCTCCCACCAATTCGACCACTGAGGCAGGTGGCAATGAGACATTTGTCGCAATAACAGTATAAAGGTGTTGTCTTGGCGTCTGTTTTTCGACTTTAAACTGCACGCCAATTGGACTTTTCGGTCGTACACAGAACTATTGATATGCAACTTTTTAAGTATCTCACAAATAGATTTAATATCGCAAATAATATAAAACCAACGGTACGTAGTTTCTCAAAAACGACCTACACTGGCCAATGTTTTTATTTAAAAAACAAGCGCCGTTTCGGTCCCGGATTTGCACCCTTTTCAGGTAATCTTTTCACACAATTTTTATTGATCTCACATGGTTCGTTTGGCCAATATCGTTATGTTAATAAGATATTGGTCAAAAAATGATTGCACTTCTTGGTCGAAGAGTGCAGAGTCAATTGAAGTTGCATTGTTAATTGTACCGACAGGAGTAAAAATATCGAGAGATGTTAGACGAGATGCCGGATCGAACTGATGAGTGACAAATATTTTTAAGTATTCCTATCCCCTCCTCCTCCCCATTTCTTAATTACGTGGCCACACCATGCATGAGTTCAATGATGTATAATCAACTAATTTGTTTTTGCTTTTTTTTTCTTTTGTTTAGTTTAGTTATAAAAGAAAGGTATGATTTATAATTTACAGCATTTAATATTATCAGGTATGATTTATAATTTACAGCATTTAATATTATCAGTAAATTTTAACATATAGATAATTTTATAACATCTATTTTGCGACTTATCAATATGTAATTGTAATAATTAGATATTCTCTCTGATTTACAGTTATAAGTGTACCACTGCAATTTTCATTCACAATGTGTTGTATACTTATAACTACAGATCAGTGATTATATTCACTGTTTCCGATGATAATTCACCGATTGATGTTTAGAAAATACCTAATTATTACAATTGTATATTGATACGTTGCAAAAAAATAGATATTGTGTTCGATGAAATTATTTATACATATAAGAAGTAGACCGAAATAAATAAACAGGATTAATATTTTTACATTAATTTGTTTATGTTACCTTTGTAGATTTCGGTCTTCTAATCACGGATAATGATACAAAAAAAAATAAAAATTAAAAGAATGAGCTTATTGTCAGGTTCTTTTCAACTAACAACACACATAAGAAAACAAGAAAAATTCATAGACAAGCGAGTTATTCTCATTGTCGCGACAATCACAAATCGATTTATCTCGAACACAATTGGTGGACTAGGTATCGAGTCCACGAGACAGATCGTTGGCCACGTAAATACAGCAAAAGGAGGAGAAAAAGAGAATTGCGCGCGCACATACAAGAGGAAGAGTCGATTCAGGAAGGAGGTGGAAGGATGAGGGTGGAAGCGCGGAAGGCAACGGGAGAGAGGATGAGTGTAGGTACGTTTCATTCGTTGTCGCAACAAAGGAGCCCCCGGGTGGCTTCGCAAACAGAAACCGGAGACCGTGGACTGTGTATGAATTTCCGCAGCTGGCTACGGGAGACAAACAGATAGCTAGTTATTTCTGCATTCAACGGCTGAATGGCCGACGCGTCTGGAACGAGGCACCGGCGCGATACAAGCGACCATTATTGGCGAACATCGGCGGCGAGCGGCACGCTCGAAGAATTTCAGCGTTATCTTCACCCGGCCGAGTTCGAGCTCTTCCTCTCTCCGACGCATTAGCATTGCGAAAGTACCTGATCGCGAAATTTTGAGCGAAAAAGGAACCGTTGCAGTACCCACGTCACCAAATTTGAATTAAAAATCATTGTAACGAAGTCTCATTAATGCTTTTTAACATTATATAACATCACATAGAAGAAAGAAGGAGAAAAAGTGAGAAAGAAAGGTAAGTATGTTAAATCATAACTAATTAAAAGCATTAATCTCATATCGATAAAATCGCATTTCATTGATTCCACCGAATGTGTCCTACGAAAGAGGTGACTCCCTGCAAAATGTTGAAGCGGCTGAAATATCGAGGGCCGCGGCACAATGCGGCAATGTATGTGAGGGAGTTGACTTTCTCGCTCTCTGTGCTCTTCCACCACCCCGAGCCATTTGGAAAATAAAGTGCGCTCATTCTCTTTCGCTCACGACTTCGACGACACATGGCGCGAAAGGAGAATGCTGGCCTTTTGTGAACGAAAACAGAGGCGAACAGTGTACGGTGTCATTGTCCTTTTTAACAGTGACATCGCACTGGATAATTAAGTCTCTCGGAACGACGACGTAAAATGAAGACAGAATAAAGTAACGCAACCATGACAAGGATAGAAAGCAGGAACATAACAAACCTGTAGAATTATACAGGTATGATACGATAAACAGAATAAACATAATTATTATATTTCTTATTTCTTAGGTCTGTAGTCTCTGATTGGTTTATAATATGTCAACACTATACAACTTAACAACTTAATACAACAACTTAGGACGAACAGACTAAGAATACCGGCCTAAGAACTTACGAGTTTATTTCATGTGTTTTATTGTTTACTTTATCTCGATGAGATAAAGTAATTTGATTGAATCATTTTGTTGACTGAACATGTAATTTGCTTGTATAAAACGAAAAATATGTTGCCGAAAAGAAGTTAAATGCTACAACTAAATATTTTGTTTCCATGAGTTGTTTCTCTGAACAAAATTTTGTGGCTGAGATAACAAATTCGTCCACTTAAATTTCCAGACTTATCACCAGACCGTCTTTAAGACGTCTTAAACTAATTTATTAAACGTACGGAGCAGCACAATCAGTTTACAAACTTCAAGAATTTACTGTTGAATTAATAATCTAATAATGTCAGATGTCTAATAATAACATTTAATGATCATCTAATTCATTTAAAATGCATATACATATATCAGGATAATCGGAATCGTCACGATCGAGTAAACTTTCAAATGCGAATATCTCTGCGTCGCGGAGGAATTTTTTAATTTCTGGACGCCGTTGCGCGATTCGCGAATTGCAGCGAGCGGGGTTTTCGAGGCGAGAGAAGCTGAGCTGTAATCAATTGGTCGTAGCGGGCGGGAGAGACTTAGCATTACTAAGACTGGATGTAAATCATCCGGACAAAGCCGCTTAACGATCCGACAAAGGACCCCGCACGGTCCTTCCTTCGTCCACGAATTATAGAATCGGGAATATGCGCGCTGCTTTCCGCCTCTCCCCTTTTACTCTTTTTTTTTTAACACCAGTCTCTCGAGCCGGTCCCTCTCTTCAACTCACGGCAGCTTGGTCCAAACGTGCTTGGCCCATCGTGACGAAATTTATGGCCATTGGCAGCGTTGTCTTCGACGTAGAACAAATCTCCGGGCCGGTCGCGTCGCGGATCCACCGATTTCGCGATTTGCGCGCGCCGACCGAATCGAATGCGTTGACTCTCGAATTTGTCGCTTGCTCTTTTTGTTCGTCCGCGACAGCGGCGCGTTTTCGGTGCCCGTTTTTTCGACGTATATCAGAACCCAGCGAGGAACCGGAGAGAATTCACAACGGAACGCTTAAGATTTTATTAGAATCTTCGAATGTTCTATGAATATTAGAATGTTCAACGCACCCGTTTGAGAAGAAATCTTCTCGAACACGAGATAAATCGATATGTGTTGATTAAACATATATTCGATCCGATTGCTGCGAGATATAAGAATCTAGAAATAACAATAGAGGGAAGTTCCCTATTATGAAACAGGCTCCTAAGAGCCTAATGAGATTATGCAGTTTCTGCATCATCTGTTGATTTCATCCATTTGTGAAATCCGTTTAATAGAAAAATGATTGTTAGATTGTGTAATTGTTGCGAAAAAAATTTTGGAATTGAATGCTGTATGTTGAAAACCTGCTAGATTAGAATCCTATCTCATAATATAGTGTCGGGAAAAAGGATTAAATCTGTCCAGATCTGGGGGGTCAGATATGACCGGATCTCGGCAGATCTGCAAATTGCCTCGATCTGACTAGATGTGGCCTATAATTAGATGAATATAATCATCGAACATAATTTAATAAACATCACGCGCTTCCTTGTTTAAAACGAAATCTAATAAATTTTGCTGATTATTTTTGGACAGTGTCTTGATTGTGTCTTAATTAACCGTTGACCGAGTCAATCGTTACGTTATACATAGGTATTTGTATCGTTTGGCTGTATCCATGTTAAAATGTGTAATCTTAAAATTTTTCGTAATTTAATAGTTAAACATAGCCAGGTATCGTCAGATCTGGAATAGTTTTCTATCAAACACAACCCTAGTACGACTTATATCTGGATAGATGTGGTCAGATGTAATGTAGATCTATTTAGTGTAAAGTATAGATCACAGACTTATATAAGGTTATATAGGATTGATGCACAAGTTTGTCCCGTTTTTAAACATTCGCGCACTTTATATACGAATCCGATCTGCATCAACTTCACACTTATATGACATATTAAACATTTGACGGTGACAATTGAACGGAAACTTTACTGTCAAATTCGTTGTCGTCGATTGATGTTTGTGAGTCGTGTAAATTTATAAAGATGGATAAAAATAAGCATTGCTTTCAGCATATGATGTTTCTATTTTCGAAAAGGCGAAACTGTTCAGATTAAAAGAAAAATATGTTCTGTCTACGGAGAAGATGATGCTATTGATGATTCCACTCTGGTCATGATTCCACCGTTCGTAAATGGTTCCGACGACTCCGCGTACGGGAAATTTTAATTCTCACGGATGAGAAACGTTCTGGACGGCCTTCCAAAATTGATAGTCACGAAATCTTGGCCTTCATTGAAACTGATCGTTATAAAACAACCCGTGAGATTGCGAATATAAGTGATAAAATGTATGTCGAAAAACGATGATAACTATAAATTTTTTTTCCCAAATTACATTCCATATATAGCTATAAACAGACTTATATGACATTTCCTTAGACATTCGAAGTCATATCTGAGCATGTCTGACCAAATATGAAAAAATCTGCCAAGATATAATTTGATCTGGTCGTTGTTCCCTCTATTATTTAAACTATCAGACTTTTTCTGTTACTGTTACAGGTAGTAGGTATGGACACAATGAAATACTCTATGGAGGCTGACAAATATCGCGCCTATATACCGCCAAGTACTCTGGCAATGGGCATGTACCCGGACCCCAAGTACTTAGATTCCAATCCTAAGGCATATCTAGACCGTACTTACTTAGACGCGAAGGCGTACTTCGAACAGTCCAAACTGTATATGGATCAGAAACCGACCATTGAATACAATCGATCCAGCTACGAGCCCAACAAGCTCTACGAGGAATCGAGCCCGAGTAGTGTCGTCGGCGGAAGTGGACCCGCGAGGTCACCACCCTCGGAATCACCGGACACAAGCAAGCAACACGAGAGGACGGAACAGGGTTCATCCAGCGCGAGTTCGACATCAACGTCGTCAGCCGCGAGTCCTGGCGCAACACTATCAGTTATCCCGGGATACTATCCCGCACCGGTCCAAGCCGGCAGCTTGATAGGCCCACAAATGAGCCAATACCCAACACCCGGTGCTGCGTACCAGACACCACCGACGTCGGGAAACGAGTCTTTCCGACGACCGTTGGTGATCTTGTGACCCGATAGAGCGTAGCTCTGATCTATTTTTGAGGAGCAATTGCTATGAGGCAATTGCTACCACAATATTTTAACGCCCGGAAAAGTCGATACACTCGGGCCGCTTAATAACCTTGTTGACTGATAATTTCCGGAAAAGTCGGCGCTGCATACGCATTGATTGATTTGAAGATCCGAGTTCAAATCCAACCAGAACATTGCTCGTTTTTATTCGAACGCTTTTCTCGGAGGAAAGTGGCCAGCGCCGAAAGATTATTCTACCACATACGACCCTTTGGGGCCTGACGTCTGACCGGTCTGACCCTCCAGGTTGGGGAGTCGATAGGGGAAAACGTGGAGGTGGAAAACGGTATATGAATTCACATTTTTAAATTACAAGTATTAGGCTACCTACATGGCTTCTCTTGTTTGCTGTTCGGTTGGGGGTAGTGGAGTTGTACAAGTAAGCTGACAATCTCCTCTCACAATCGGAAGAACAAATCCTATGTTGAAACTTCAAAGGAGGCTTCGAAATGGAGGTAAAAAGAGTGAAGCGGCCAAATAGTATTACAAAGTATAGTATCCCAAAATCTACAATACCATCTCCAATGACGTATAATAAGTCCACATAACTGTAGGTATCAAAATAATTAATGGATGACGTGTACAGTACCCTCCATAAGTTTGGAAACACTTTATAAAAGTGTATTACGAAAGAAACGCATAATAAAATCGATGTATTTTGCTCTTTGTAAGTGTTCATTTAACTAAAGAACATTAAAACGAAGATACATACGTACATACGACAAGCTTTTGATAAAGATTTAAATTTTAGATTCCTCAAAATAACCAGCTTTTGCTTTAATGACTGCCTTGCATACTCGCGGCATGCGATAGATTAACTTTTGCAGAGATTCAGTCGGGATACGTTTCCATTTTTGTACTTGGAGAATCTCCCAGAAATGCACTTCACTCGTAATTCGCTCTTTGCGAATCCTCCTGTCTAATTCGTTATTTAAACGTATCGTAATTTTATCATTATTTTCATCATTATATCGTTATATAATTATCGTTATTTAACGTAAAATATAGGGTGTTTCCGAACTTATGGAGGCTACTGTAGCTCTATGCTTGAACAAGTAATTAATAATGGTAGGGTCAATCCCGGCCTTCGTCTCGCATATTTTCCCGATAAAGAAAATTTCAAAATTCAGTGCTTAAAAGAATTTAAATGCAAAATAGATGGATTTTAATGATGTAATTTTGATGCTGACAAATTTAATGCTGCGGATATTCAATAGTCTTGTCCAATGGTCACTCATTATGGAAACTTTCTACTGTTGGTTCTACTCCGTACAACACACGGTTGTGTTAAATTGGTTGACATTATCAGTCAGCAAGGTAATTAAGCGATGACGTCTTAACCTACCGCTCGGAGAGGTAGGTAGACATCCCTATTTATTACTATGGAAAAGACAAACGAAATCCTCAAGAAAGGAAACAGTTGGGGACAGTGAAACTGACGGTAGTACGAACGTGTATACGACTCGAAAACAGTATAATTGCAATGTGTCCCTCCCGATCGCGACACGGACTCAACGAGATGAAAGCTAAAGGACTCCATAGCTCAGTATGATAATTTCTAGCTTGTAGCTTTGTATGATAAAATTATCGAGGAAAAAGATTTATTTCTTAAAAATTCGATGATGTAACCAGCCGACGATGTAAAGTATTACCGGATTCTATCAAATTTTTCAATAACAATTATTCGTCATAATAGTCACGGATTTGACAAAATAGCTTACACTAATCACCATCAATACTTTCTGGAATGTTCTCGATGCTTTTCTACGGAAAGACCCAAGCAATTCTTGAAGGATTCTGAAGTGGACTGGGAGTGATAAATGAAGATCTCGTGAACCAATTAAAGAAACAAATTAATAAAATTGGTATGGTTCAAATGTGATCAACACAAATTTGAAGGAATGAAGGACTAAGAGCCGTGACAGGGTGTTGGTGTCTAAATATTTTATTCTAAATTTATTGCGAAAAAGTATCACCTCAGCCAGAGTTTGAACCTGGACCTCCCACTCACAATTAAATAAAATTTGAAGAAATGAAAAAGAAGAGACATCTCTCATCCATCAGTTTTAAATTTCGGCAAGGTTAGCAGCCTACCAGAATGAACTGGATAAAACAGACTTTTCGAATTTCCGAGCAATTTCTCGTGAGATATCCGAACATTAAACAATAAGATGAACGAAGTATCAGGAGATACATGAGGATTTTGTTTCGTTACAGTTTTCAAGATAAATATAAATGCTTTGTCTTATAAAGTAAATGTAAATGCCCTATATTAAAAAACTAAACTAATCAGGTACGTGTAGGTATTTTAGTGCCGTTCGTGGCGCAATGGATTTTCCGCTGGTCTGGTATCCCGAAGATCCGGGTTCAAAACCAAACAAAACATTGTGGGTTTCCATTCGATCGCCACATAGCGAAGTGGAAATAGAGAGAGGTGTTATAAGAGGTTTGGGCACGTTCCTTCAAAAACGCCTAGTAAACCCCAAGGGGAATCAATAAAATGTATTTACATTCATAAATGCTTTGGCTTTAGGAATATATTAATTAGGAATATATATACCTTCTTCTTCCTCGTGTATTAGGTTTATTTAAAGTGTGTTTTATCTAGTTCTCGTTTTGGTACTTTGAGCATTTGGTTTTACTTCACCTGCGGTAGGCTGCTAACCTCGCCGAAGGAAACCTCCCATCTGGAGGACTATACCCCTAAAGTAAGTAAAATACACGAGGACGAAGAAGAAGAAGACTTTCAAAATGGAGAAACACAAAATACAAAGAAGATCTATTTAAACTACCAAAACGATGAATGGACAGCTGGACATCTGGGTCGCAAGAGACGAATTAATCGGGTAAACAGACTCAAGCCTACTTCAAATAGAAGAAAAAGAAGGAAAATGAAGCTTTTTAGTCGACATTAACTGGCCAGTGTTTTAATACAGAAAATTTATTACGATAAATATTACCTCAGCCAGGATTTGATCCTGGACTTGCCTACTCTCGAGGCGTGCGTCTCACGACAACTCGCGACAGAAGAAGCTTTATGTAAAAAATCATTATAGAAGATGTTCAATTCAACCTAAGCCGCAAATAAACTACCGTTAAAGACGATCAACCTGGAAGAATTTTATCAACTAAAATTATCAACTAAATAATCAAGTAAAAAGAAAATTAAGCATTTTCTTGCCGACAAAATGCAATCAATGGCGTCGTTTTAGCAGGAGAGTTAAATGCGGCCAATGAACTACTTCCAGAAACGAAGAACGACTAACGACAGTAACGTCGTTATAGATGACAACGAAGACCGGGAGTACTTTCGCTATGTGTTTAATTGACTAGTCCTGACCGAAACGGTGCACAAAATATTGTACATGTGTAAATAGTGTAGTAAAAAATTTTTGTTTCTTCCGAATTTCCGCGCGCGAATCCACTTACGGTCTCTCCAGGAACGCTAGAGACTCGTAATTCTTAAGGAGGAAGCAGTACAAAAGGAATCATATGCGTGCGTGGTGTCCGAGAGCCGTAGTGAGTATTCGATCTCATGGAAATGACGTAAGAGCAATTTATACTTTAATTATTCTTTTTTTCTTTATTAATAAGTACGAAATAACCAGAATTGGGAAAGTTACTCTTTATTCAAGTGTCTAATTATATTATTATATTATCTAATTACAGTTACAGTTTTCTGTGCTAAAAATGCAACTAGTTACAGTTACAAGTTACCAATTCTGAAAAGTAACGCGTTACAGTTACAGTTACTCAAAAAGTAACAAATTGTTACTTTGTAAATACTTTCTTGCAATGAAGATAAAAATATCAAATCTGCATTTGAATTGTAAAGTAACGGTAAAGGCGTTTATGCGCAAAGGGAAGGCCTAATGCTATCTATGGAGGTTTAAAATATAGAGTATATATTTTAAACTCTTACAAATAAAATAAAATAAAATATTAAATAGATAAAATATAAAAAATATTTAAAAATATAAAATAAAATATACAGGGTGAGTCATTTTAATTTACCACCCCTAATAACTTATGTGGTTTTAAATTGAGAACAAAATGTTTCAGACCAAAGTTGTTTGGTTCCGAGGAGGACATAAGAGGAACCCTCTATTGTTTATTATACTGTCATATTCTACTAATTAATATAAACAAGTTTTGTCTGAAACATTTTCTGATTTGCCTAATACTTTTTAAGATATTCAAGAGAAAATTGATAATTTTTCCAATATTTAACTTATGATATCTCGATAACTGTTTGTCGGAAAGAAAAGTAGTACAGGACTTTTTTTACTTGATTTGGTCTCAAGAATATGCTGTTGCGATTATTCCAATTATTAAAAATTTTGGTATATATCAATTTTGTGATAATTCAAATGCCACCTCCATCTGTGCCAGGTTCTTAGAATAAAGGCGTTTACATTGTAATTGATTTATAAATTTTGTGTATGTTACACTAAATTAAATTAGTTATTAATTATCGAACTAATGTAACTGAATTAAGTTCAGTTACAGGTGGATAGAGAAATGAAGTAACAAAATTAAGTTAGAGTTATCAAAAAAGTAACTGTAATTGTAACTTCGTGGCAAGTAACGAGTTACTTCCCAACTCTGGAAATATAACCTTATTGTAAATATCTTGTGTAAAAAGTTCTATTCGCGCATCTCTCTCCGTATTTTTAGTCTCTGGAAAAGTTGATGCGTACACAGATGTTTTCGTATCTTGACACGAATTTCACTATTTCAAGACATTGCAATGGAGAGAGATAGGCACTAATTGTAAGACGCGCAACTTATTAATTTTTCGCCAAGAAAAATGGCAGGCTAGGTATACACCAGGATTTAAACCTGGACCTTCCGCTTGCCGGGAGACTGCTCTCCCTATCTACGCCCTATCTAACGATTGTGGGCTATCCAGGCTCACAATTTTATTCGTTTCATTCGCGATCATCGCGAATCGTATTTTGTTGCTTTGAGCCGTATTAATTTAGCGTGAGCTATATTAATTTAGCATGATTTTGCTGTTAATTTGATATCAATTTTATTTCATAGATATATCTGCATAGACTATTGCTTGAAAAATGTATATATATATATATATATCATTCATTTTGGATATATTTTTCATATATCCATTCATTTATTATAAAAGAAAAATGTATATTTTTCTCTATTAATTTTATGAAGCCTTTAACTGAGTATAATATGCCTTTGATTGACCAATTATTGACCAATTAATAGATTCATAAGGCTCATATATATAAGCACAACAGAATGTAGAACTAACAAAGAGATGGCAAAAACTGCGAAATTGATTTCGAAACGAGTCATAGTCCATTCGAAGGAGGGTATGTATTTATGCAAAGTCTAGAAGGGTTAAAGTGAATGGACCTTCAACGTCGCACGTTATTTTTTTTATTTTTTATTTATTAAACAAGTGCCAGTTAAGGTTGACTAAACGGATCCATTGTTGTTTATTACTGATAACCTAAAGAGATTATCATGTTTATATTTACTATGTCTATGGGCAAGATATTCTCGGTGGTTGCCACTTTCCTTCGGGAGATTCCGAAAAACACCAGCGGTGTCCGTGGATTTCAACTCGAAACTTTTTTCGTTCATTTGTTTACGAGGCAACGCACAGTTCTCTGCGCCACACTCGCCACCCATGTGCACAATACTTTTTACACATAAAATTAAAAATAAGAATTCTGTATTATTTACTTATCTTTCGTTACAAAAATTATTTATTATGAAATTCAGACATTGCTGTACAATTTTGTGGGTGAAAATTAATGTAAAAGCATATTAAACACAAATAATTCACACACCATAAAACATTGTTCGTGGATTTGAACTCGGATCTTTTCGTTTATTTGTGTACTAAGCACATTTCTCTGCGCCACACTTACCAGACGAAAATCTCTTATTAATTTTATGGAGTCATTAGCTGCATATGTATAATAGCTGCACTCAATACTTGTATTGGGATGTGACCTGTGTTGGCACAGAGCTAAACGTCGCCTCAGTTAAGATTCATATTCGGTTAAGGTTAATGTGTCTTTTTAAGTTTTATATAGATTGAGACGGGAAACTTATAGTCAACCCAACTGGCTAGTTATTTAATTAGTTTATTACACAACGTTTGTGTGTAATATAATTCCATTTAAATATTCCATTATATATTCCATTTCGACCCTATTCTTTTGGGTCCTTTTCGAGTGATACTGCGAATCCATAACATATATAGATTTTATATAGATCTTCCTTTTAATGTCTTCCTTTTAAGTTTTATATTAGATCTAAATTAATAATAAAAAGTAGTAAGAATATTCTTAAAGTCGCCAGAAGTAATTAATAAATTAATAACCTCAGTGATTTTTGTTGACCGTACCTGGCAATTAAAATTCTTATTGCGATATAATAATAAAAAGTAATAACTGACTTTACAGTCGGATCTTCGGGTTCATTTGTTTACTAAGCAGCGCACATTTCTCTGCGCCACGCTCGCCACACGGATCTAAATTAGATGATTTAATTCCCAGTATTCATGCAAATTATACATATATATTCCATTTATAGCATCAGTGTGAAACAATCTTGAGTAGCTTTTTGTCGCCAGTGGTAATCAACCAAGGGAAATTTTTTTAAAAATCGACCAAACTGACAACAATGATGTTTATTTTAGTCACGACGTTTCAAACCCTTTATCGGGTCCTTTTCAAGTATAATCTGGAAACATTATAAGCGCTCAAACCCCAATATAGAAAAAGAATTCTTTAGTATGCATATGCACAAAAAGTACCTAAAATTGAACATTTTAATGTATGCCGTATTAATGTACAAACATGTTGCTTTTCTTTCTCGGCAATTGCAAAATGGTACAGTACTCTATCCGTAAATAAGAGGTG